AAGTTTATTTTGATGTTAAAAGCTTTTTTGTTTAGTAATCTATTCAATACTACCTGGAGTATCCGTAAATTTTATGTTATGTAAACTTATGATTAATAAAAGGTTATCTTAAGACATGAAAAGTTACTTCCTTTATATGCAATTGTAAAAAACGCCCATGAAAACAGCAAAACACAAAATGGAATCGCAAATTTGCAACAAACATCCATATCAAATTTGGTGAAGATAGGCGGTAAGATAGTGTTAAAAAAACTCAAAAACGCCCATAAAAAACCGCAAAACGCAAAACTAAAAATTTGTATGTACCCCCGCATGGACATAATAAGCTCCATATCAATTTTGGTAAAGATCCATCCACACTCTGCGAAGTAGTTACATGGAGATACAAGAGAGATTACTATCATATTTATTTATTTATTTAGATTGATAACTTCATTTTTTTCTCGACTGCATGACTTATCAAACAGCTTGACGTTTTTATTTTTCCATTGCATTTCATCAATCAGAGAAGTTTCTGAAAATTGAAAGTATAACAAGAATTCCTACCAACATCTGCAAAAAAATAGCTCGTTCAAAGTTTTTTACTCAGGTTTTTGTAATCCCTTCTTGTTCTTAAATGTCTGAATTATTAACCTTTGTGCTGAGCTACAATTTAGTTGTTGTTTTCAAGTATTTATTTACTTTTATCTGATCAGTTTAATCATTTGATTTTGTTAACCCTTTTTTTAGCACCCCCCACCCCCATTAACTCAGCTTTGAGTGTGCTGGTTTACGATGCTAAAAATCGGGGTTCGGTACACGTGGTGGGCAGAGCACAGATAGCGTGTTGTTTAGATTTAAGCTTAACAACAACCAGAACAACCTATCTAACATACATAACCTTTAATTCAGTGAGCAACCAAAAGGTAACAAAATTGCCTTGGAAAACTGCAAACATAATTAGTATCGATTTTACTTCTCATTGTAGACATAAAAGTGTAAATAACCTATGCTATTATCTTTCTTTTTGTTTGTTTCTTGCCTGAATCGGTGACAGAGTTCCGCTACGATTTCTTCTCGCCGCCATCTTAATATTCATTAAGAAAGAAAAAAATAGAAAAAAACTCTCCCAAGATAATAGCATTTTCAAGTCGCTACGATACGACGTGAAACAAGGTATACAGTTATTGTACTTATACATTTATCTACTTATACACCATTCACGTGATAGAAATAAAATAACCTGCTATGTATATTTTATCTCAGTCATGTTTGTTATGCCACTGATTTGATTTATTATTTACAGTAAAAGTGGCCATCAAAAATCGTCATCAAAGTAGGGTTGTCTGCATGCTTTAAGTTATTCTTTTGTCCATTCCATGTAGATTTTGTGTCAAGGATCCATCAGAATCACTGTACAGTGACAGCATTCCGAATAACTTAAATTTGAGCTTTAATTTTGGATAATGAGTTTATTGTCGTAGAAAATTTAGAGCAATTTTTTTTTTTCGGAAATGGAATCTGAAATATTTACATACTTCAAACTGTATTATTTTTAACAGGTCTTTATGTAATGTGATTGCAGTCTTTACGGTATAGTTTTGATAGTGAATCCTACATATCGCATTACATGATACATCCAATTACAGTGCTACGTTACTTTAGAAGTTCCTTTTGTAAACACTTTTATCGGCACGATATTCAAGCTCATGACACTTTGTATAGTTTTTCCTATTTCTTAATATGAATAAAATTGGGCTAGTTTCAACTCTTTGATTATGTAAGCCTTCTCCGTCTTTAAAAAGATCATCACCACAACTCATATTCACATCAATATTGTGAAAATAAACTAAAACATAAGTTAGGCATTTCAAGTAAAAACAGTTCATGACTTGATTTACAAAACGTGGGCTAATAAACAGAGTTCATTTCTAAATATAAATTGTTTATTGTTGTTAATTCCAGTTTCTTTGAGATGCGTTTGCTGAGAAAAGACTGTGAGCAGTAACAATTGTACAAAAATAATTTTCGTGAATTTGTTTGTTTGAAGTTAAGCGCAAACCTACACAATGGGCTATCTGTGCTCTGTTCACCACAGATATCGAAACCCGGTTTATAGCGTTGAATGCCCCCAGATCTTCCGTTGTGCCACTGGGGGACTCCATGATTTTGACTTGCGAAGAATCAGTAGATAGAACCATGAAATATGTTCATTTGGAACATACTGTTTCATGTAAAAATGAATTCGATGTTAATATTCATTACTGAGACCAATACTCTATATTAGATTTTTTGTATGTGATCCTGTGTTCGGACTGTCAAACCGAGGATTACCGATTCACGACCCGTTGTCGCAAAACCTCGTTTTGCATTTTTGGCTGCACTGTAAGAGTACATGTCAAATTCAACTATTCGTCCAGACAGTTGTCACTCGAGAGTTAGCAGTGTATGATGCTGACTAGCTGCCTTTTCTGTGGGCTATCATTTCAAAATTAGGAAGGGTTATGCGTAAATAGGCGCTGTGTGGCTTTGCCAAAAATTTTGAAACAAATAAAATATATGTTTGTTAATCATATTGTTACGTATTATAATTTCAACTAGCATGAAATTGAGTTAACTGATAAATTTAAATTTAGTAGTTAAATTGTACTTTGGATTTAATAGTTAAGTAAAAGCCGATATATAGTC